AATTTCACGTAACTTTTGTTTCACCAACGTTTACAATATGTGAAAAAAATGTTCAAAACATGTGTTTAACCATGGTTTGACACATTTTTGTATGGTATTCATACATTTACTATATGAGCAATGCAAATAATAAACCCATTAAACATGTTATGAGAAACATATGTTACACACACGTTGCACGTACGTTATTCATATGTGAAACGTATGAATAACCTACGTGTGCAATATATGTGTAACGTATGGTGGGCAATACGTACGTTTAACATATGTGACACGCATGATATTCACACGTGTGAAAACGTATGTATAACATACGTGGTATCTTTTTCATGGAAAACGTACGTGAAGTCACGTACGTGTCACATACGTTTAACATACGTGAAACGTACGTGGCACAATTAGCTGTGTAAGAATATGACCTAGAAAAACATTATATTCAATCTGATTGTTTGGAATCTATATTTAGCCAGCAGGATACCCGGATGTGAACATTTCTGGGGGTGGATCTAGCAGTTTGACCCACCGTGAGAATGCCAAATCAGCGTTCCTTCCTCATAACGAGACAGTGTGGAAGAGAGCGCTTCACGCCTGGTAATATTGTGGACAGTCGTCCAAAGTCACACAAACATGGTGTTATAGAACTCAAGGGTTCCATTGATATTATCATAGAAGAATGTAAAAGGACAACTTCTTGATATGTCATTTATATTTTATGAATACCTGAATAGGAAAAGAGCAGATGTATATTGTGCCATATTTCACAGCAAAAATAATTTTTTAAAATGTGTACTGTAGATTCCAAATTATCATGATTATACAATGAAATCATTGTTATTTATGGGGGGTATCAATGTTCGTTGGCAAGCAAATTGTAGAAGATTGATTGAATTGATAATCTGACAAAAGAAATGTTAAACTTTGCAGTTTTCAGGTAAATTCACCACGAGTGATATCAGAAAAGGAAGATTTTCCTTTTAACTTGTTTAATAAGAAATCTGCAACTTAATGAACTATAATTACCAATAAATCATGACTCCAATCAGATTTTATAAGAATCTACAGAAACAAATATCACAACTTATGCCAAATTTTTTTTTAAAAATTGTTTACACACATGTTACTAAGTATGCTTTTCTTTGACAGGTATGAAATGGGAACACCAGGTGTCTTTGAGGAGATAGTTAACAGCAGTCAGGAAGGTAAGTAATGTAATTATATATACAGGGACCATCCAACCTAGTCATCACAGTCAGGAAAGGTAAGTAATGTAATTATATATACAGAGACCATCCAACCTAGTCATCACAGTCAGGAAGGTAAGTAATGTAATTATATATATACAGGGACCATCCAACCTAGTCATCGTAGTCCTGTCATTTCATGGTTTTTTCAGTAACGAGGGCTGACAAACAGATTGTTTAAACTAGTGTTGTTACGATAGTCGCTGACTATCGAAAAATCGTCGTTTAAAGGCCCAGATCGGCGACAATCGATTGTAAATATTATCATCGATAGATCGCTATATTCTTCATGCCGTATTTTTTAAGGTTTAACTTTTATATTCACCAAAGGGACGTCACTCTAATTGGCGGTAAACAAAATGGCGAACGTGCATGGTGAAGAGGTTGACGCCTTATTATATCAATATCCTGGTGCAACACGATCTAAAATTTGAAATTTTTTGGCTTTCTGTAAAAGGGCGATGGGCCTCCATGCAAAAATAATATACAGATGGACTCGGTTATTTGTAAATTGTGTAAAATGTCGTATGCCAATAAAGATATGTTGAAGTTCGCGGTCAAATGTCATGGAATTCTACTCGTGCTGAATTAGTAAATTTAACCTTTTTAATAGTTCAAATTATCGATTATATAATCGATTGTGTTCTTCCGATTCAATTTGATAATCGATAGTAAAATATGTCCGATTTTACAACACTAGTTTAAACACTTGTCAAGAAAGGAATGGCAGATATTTTTTAATTCAAATGCGATTTTTGCGAAACTTTGAATGAAAAATTAAAAACTATGTGGCAGTTAAACTTGTTCATTTCACTCACTGAAACATGACTCAGGTTGTTATTTTCAATTTTTATGACAAAAATTTGTATCTTCTGTCCTTAAATGCGGTCCCCTTGTTTGTAGTCCCTGAGTGTGTGGGCGTCCTGGCTAAGAAGACCTTGACCTTTGTCCGTTGGGCCAACTCTCTCCACGGCTCCGTCTTCCCTCATCTCTCTGTAAGTAAAGCACGCACATAATAATATACACTGCTATATCACAAACATACAGTAAAGCATGCACATTATATCAATACATCTTGTCATATTTATACAAAAGAAAGATCATTAAATTGAATTGTACTAATTTTACCAAACATCAGTTTATAATGCTGTGTTACTAGTAGATACATTTACTAATCATTGATTATTTTTGCAGATGTCCAATGAAGAAATCATTACCAAGTTTACAGACATACCTAACTGGTGAGAAACATCTTCACAAGATTAAAATTTCGCCTCGGTTTTAAACATGGCTGGGAGGATTTTTTTCTTACTTTTGAGGGACCAGTTAAATATTGTGTACACAAAATGTGTATTCGTTTACACTTCGTAATGTTTATTTCAGGCCTAGTAGTCCAGTACGTGCTTTTGCCTGGCATCCACACACGCTTAAATTGGCCTGCGCCCTTGCTGATGACTCAATCAAAGTGCATTCTGGGAAGAGTGATCTAGTTCCCACCCTCAAACATAAGCTACAGAAAAATGTAGCTGCACTAGCTTGGCAGTAAGTGTTCTGAAATGTTGATATTTTGTTGTTTAAAAATGAAAAATCTGAATTTTTACACCTTTTAATATAGTAGCTAGGGAAGCTAGGGAAAACTGGGGAGCCAAGATGACATTGCTATATCTGTGATTTCGCAGTATCCATGTTTGTACTAAACGAGTTTACTGTATCAGCTAGTATATTGTGGGTTTAAAAAAATGTATGTGATATTGTGACTAAAATACCATTGGCAGCATGTTTAAAATGTAACTGTAATAATATAAGTTCTGGAAATAATTGAATTTTTCACTTGTATGGAGATGCCACCTTTGCCGGTCAAAAACATTTTTTTCTCTATCCTCTTCACTTATATCCAATGAAGAGAGATTGTTTCATGCCAGACACCTAATGTGACATAAGACCTTGGTTTATACCGTCTCATCCGAAGGACCGGTCTCCATGTCTCACAGTGGGATTTGAACCTGTACGTGGAGTAAGGATCAACTTCTTACTTCGTGAATCTAGAGCAGATGCTCTAACCATTGAGCCATGCAGGCAACAGGAAATAGTTGCATTAACCATTATGACATTAACATTAATTATAGCATTTTTAGTAGATTACTAATGTACATGACCTTTACAGACCCCAGTCAGCCTCTGTCCTAGCTGTTGGCTGTCAGTCCTGTGTCCTTATCTGGCACGTGGAGCCCACCTCTCTAGCTACCAGGTAAGATAAGTATTACTATTAAAAGGTAACTTACAGGTAGAGCCCACCTCACTAGCTCAAGTGTTTTGGGTAGGTCCATCCCAAAGTAACTGTAGTTATTGTAAATCCTTTAATTACCATACTTGAAGGACAAACATTCAGTTGATGTAAGAAATTGTCATCACTTACAGATAGAGATTTTGTAATTTTTGATAACACTGTGACCTTGACCTTGACAGGCCGTCCACGAGTTCCTGTCAGGTCCTACAGCAGACTAATCACTCCCCCGTCACCTGCCTGGCCTGGGACCCCAGTGGTAGGATTCTCCTCTCAGCCTCACCCGTGGATACCTCCCTTATGGTAACAGTCACCATAGAGACCGTGCCGAGTCCTTAACAACACTCTGAAAATTAAATTGCAATGATGCGTCGATAAAAAATACAGATGAAATTGGAAATTGAAATCTCAAAAACTAATACATGTATATTGAATTATAGAAAAGGGTTATAGAGATACGACAAAGTGATTTAAAGTTTTATAAATATTCATGTATTCATAATATGATGTAAATCTCTATCTGTAAAGGGAGTTTGTATTGGCTGATTAGGTTATAATACAAGAAAAAGATAAACACATAAACTGCCCTGAATAATTCCTATTCTTTTTTAGGTCACCTGAGTAACTCAGGTGACCTATTGCTATCCGTTTTCGTCCGTCGTCGTCCGTCGTGTGTCGTGTGTTAACATTTGAACATTTTCAGCTTCTTCTCTAAAACACTGAACCAATTTCAACCAAATTTGGTTTACAGCATCTATGGGTGAAGGGGAACAAAAATTGTAAATTTCATGGTCCCCGCCCCCCTGGGGCCTGAGGGGTGGGGCCAAAACCACTAAAATTAATGAAATCTTTAAAAATCTTCTTCTTTACTCCTGGACATCAAGCAGGCAAACTATTGGCATGAATGTAATGAGCATTGAGTCCTCTACCAAAATTGTGAAATTCATGGCCCCAGGGTCAGGGGTTCTAGTGCTAGGGCGGGGCTCTATAGATTATATAGTGAAAATGCATTATTTCTTTGAAAATCTTCTTCTCTGCTCCTGGGTATTAAATAAACTAACTAAGCACATAGTTATGATGAGCAAGAGTGCCTCTTCCAGATTTGTGAATTTTATGGCCCCAGGGTCAGGGGTTCTGGTGTTAGGATGGGGCTCTATAGATTATATAGTGAAAATGCATTATTTCTTTGAAAATCTTCTTCTCTGCTTCTGGGTATTAAATAAACTAACTAAGCACATAGTTATGATGAGCAAGAGTGCTTCTTCCAGATTTTTGAATTTTATGGCCCCAGGGTCAGGGGTTATAGTGCTAGGGCGGGGCTCTATAGATTATATAGTGAAAATGCATTATATTTTTGAAAATCTTCTTCTCTGCTCCTGGGTATTAAATAAACTAACTAAGCACATAGTTATGATAAGCAAGAGTGCCTCTTCCAG